TCTTGTGTTTCGGTGCCAAAAATTAATTGAAAATAGCAATTTTTCCAAATTATTTATACCTTTCAGTTAAAAATTCACGTCCAATAACCAATACGGTGATGATTAATCGAGTTCCCCCATAATGTTGTTTTTATTTTATGCATTTATTTTTCATAAATTATTAAAGTGCACTGATTAGTATTTTCCATTTGTTGTATATAAAGACTTTGACTTTCAGCTATTTTCAATCCATCGGGAGCCTGGTGTGTACCTTCTAGGAAAATTAAGTAAAATTGTGTACAGGGATTGATTTTCCCGAAATCGTTTAAAAATTAAGACTAACATGTGAAGTTAAAGCGAATTTGTGGACATTTTACGATATTTCCCGTGTAGATCGTAAGACTTCCCGACGTTTGAGTTACTTCAAAATGTTGTTCATTCCACCAACGTAATTTGATACAATAATCGCTTTTGAAATGAATATAATTCATTTTTGAGTCATTGTTATAGCAATTTCTTAGAATGGCGTATAAGGTTGAAATACATTGGAACACATTAGTAAACTATTTTGATTATTATTACAACACGTCTAATATAATTGTTTTAGAAATATGCAAATAAGCACAAATGTGAACAATTAGTACCTCCAAGTAAAACAAATTCTTATCGATTTTTTGAGAAGCGTCTAAGGATACCAGCAACGAAGGATTCTTTCTTCCTGTGTAAAAATTTTAGGGAATACGAGGCAATAAGAATCATGGGAAATACACCGATTAATCAAAACAGGTGGTTGTTTATCGCTTCTATGCGGTCAATTTGAGAAGAGCGCAAAATCAAACCTGGAGCTTTGGGAGACTCACGTGACCATATTAACTTCTGAGCATCAGGACGGCCAGTCTGGTAAGAACCGTTGCGTGGTTCCTTCATCGCAGGATGCAGATGACAAGTAATACTGATCATCCATCCATCCATCCATTGTCCAATCCGCTTATCCTACTGGGTCGCGGGGGGTCCGGAGCCTATCCCGGAAGCAACGGGCACGAGGCAGGGAACAACCCTGGATGGGGGGCCAGCCCATCGCAGGGCACACTCACACACCAGCCACCCACACATGCACACCTAAGGGCAATTTAGCAACGCCAATTAGCCTCAGCATGTCTTTGGACTGTGGGGGGAAACCGGAGTACCCGGAGGAAACCCCACGACGACACGGGGAGAACATGCAAACTCCACGCACATGTGACCCAGGCGGAGACTCGAACCCAGGTCCATTTTGGGGAAACTGATTTATTCCAAAAAGAAGTTAGGACTCATGTGTTTTAAAGTAATACAATGAATATGATGTCATAACCGAACGTAAATATGATCCCCAAAAGTGACTTTTGCACGAATTTCACAAATTTAATGCATTTCTGAGTAATTTTATATTTCGCATATCTCTATTACCTCGACCCTATACTAGATCTACCGTTATGGAAAATGTATAGAAAATGCGTATCTCTCTTTGGTCTAAGCTAACAGTACTATGAAGTGCATTCTTCAAAAACCAGATGTCCTGTGCAAAGTGACTCACTAACCCCATTGCTGGGATACAGCAGACACAGCTGGGCCCTTTGATACATTGCAGCCGACGGCTTATAATTTGCAGGTAAAATAGAATTTGTGGGGACGTGCCTAGAAATTCCAGGGCTCTCAACAAAAAAATCACCTTGGGTCCCCCTGCCAGCGTCCCCCTGGTAGATGACAGTACATTTTGTGGTCTTTCTGAAGTGCTGGGCCCACAGAAACTGCTAGAGCCTCCGCGTGCCTCGGACGCCCCCTAGTGTACAATAACTTAAGCTAAACATGCAGGTATGGGGGAGATCAGGGATGATTGTTACATGGGATAGTTGTAACAAAGTCTATTTCTCAAATCAGGAACGAGGTACAAATCACATCTCACCCTGCACGTGCTCAGGTTTGTCTTTGTTTTACATATGAAGAAGGAGCACCCTGTAACAAAGA